GATCTGCAAAATTTGTGGTTCAGGTTCAGGTTCAGTTCAGGTTCATTGAACCTGAACTTGAACTGAACTGAACCTAGGAACCCTATCTACATGTGAGATAATGTGTTATTTCTGGTTTCACATGTGGTCTCGTGCAAGCCACCTGCATCCAAATATGCTCACCCAATCTCCCCATTCAACCTAAATTTGGAGCAACAAACAATCCCCTTATGCGGTCTTATTTTTTTTCGTCCATTTTTTGGTATAAGATTGCCTGGTCTCACAGCATGAACAATCCCAATTTTTCGCAAAATTTTTTCAAAAATTTTCACAACTTTCACAGATCTTCAAAAACGATTTGCATGTTTCTTCTATTTCTAATCTACGTACTTCTATTAATCGATGCCGGTATGTTTTATCTTTTCCAACGAACTGCATCTGGTCAATTTGCTCCAAACCAAGAGGAGCACTATCCCGAATTTTTGCCTTCTAGTCGATCTTCTTCAGTGCAAGTTGAAGATTCTATTATGGAATCTATTCCAGATGCTCCTCCATCTTACCAAGAGGCTGTGGCAGAAATGCCTACGGACTCATTTATGATAGCAACTTCAGATATTTAAGATCAATAGATTTGTTGTTTAATCTCTAAAATTTTTGCAATTTTTACAACAAAAAATAAATCTAACATGGCTTTTCAACCTATTGTTGAACAAATTGAACAAGTTACAGAAGAAGTTGTTGTCACTTCTGATGTTAAATATTTGTATTTTAATTATTATTTATTTATCATATTAAATATAATTTGATTTTACTAGATACAAGCTACCTCTCAGATCGATTGGCAACTGAGTTTGAGCAATATGAGAACAAAATTCGTTCTCTTGAAAAAATGGTTGAAAAACTTATAAATATGATACTGTTTTTAAAAAATAGTATCTATTTTTTATTTTTTTTATTTTTTATTATTTTAATTTGTTTTGGAGTGTATATCTATTATACATTTAATGTTCATTTTTTAAATGTTCAACTTCTATCCGAAAGAATAGAAGTTCGAATAAAACAAGAACTTTTTAATAACTTTTTAGAGTTAGTTAGAAAACAATTTAACGAATTTGTAGATTCGATTAAATTGAAATTATCTTTAATGTAAAGAGAATAGACAGTTGATCTGTTTATTTTCTGATAGATTTTTTATGTTCTGGTTGATCGAGAATATATATTTTTTTGTTCATTCTTGATCAACCAGAACGTAAAAAATCATTTATGTAGTTTTATTTTAATAAATTTTTTTTTACTTTTGAATAGACATTATTGATTTTGAGTTGGTGTGAATTTAGAAGTTTCGTTCTGAGTTGATCTTTAAAACTTGTATTTTTTGGAAAAATTTTAAAAATTCTCATATAAAAAACCAATTGTTTAAAATAAAAAAGTTTATTTAAACATAAAAAAATTTGATCATGACAAATTACACTTTTGAATTTTTACAATTTTACAAAATATTATTCTCTAAAATGCCTTCTCTCAAAAAACTTGTCACTAAAATTATCAAGAAATCTAATGTTGCTACCAGATCGATCCCTCCTCAAGAACAGATTTATGAAAACATGTGGTCAGATTTTGACCAAGGGGAGGAATGGAATGTTGAAGAACCATTTGGTTCAACCGGCATTAAAGAAGATTTTGAATCTTCTTCAATACAAGCTGAACAAGAAGATCCTTTGTTGGTAGTTATAAAAGAAACCCCATTCAAGAGTTACTCTTTTGAATGGATTTTATTGATATTGTTGCTGTTGTCGTCATTGTTTTCGACGATGTTGGTGTGGATCTTTGGGCTCTTGTTCCTGTTCCGATGGAGATTCTTGTTGCTGCAGTTGAATCTTTCGGAGGGAGATGTGGTGAGGTTCGTTGACCCGTGCCTGATACATTACAGTCAGGCATCGATAAATAATATATTTCAGATAGGCAATGACCTTGATAATACCATCCAAGATCTGTTGGATGGCAAGGTTAGAATAGAAGATTTCTCTCTCATCAATGTCTGTTTGATAGAGAATGTCTTCTATTCGTCAGATAATCGAAGGCTTTATTGCTTCAAGGAGGCAATAAAGCGAGGGCTGAATGTTGACAGGATACCTGTTTGAATAAGATAGGTATCAGATGTCAACATCGAGTGGAAGATGGAGAGAGCGTATCGGGTGGTGAGGAACACCAATTTTAAGGAGGTGGTGGTTAGTTCTTCATTAAGAAATGGGAGGGTAATTGATGGTGAGGGCTACTGGGAGTACTATATTTAGTTGTAATTTTTTTGTAAATATTACCTGTAAAAACCTGTATTTATACCTAATTATGTTTAATAAAACGTGATCTGTACATAAATTTCTAGCATATTCTACGTTATCATTTTGTTTATTTTAAAATAAATTTAGTATAAATCTAAATTTGTCAGGTTTATAGTTTTAATGGTGTTGATCTATAAATATGGTTAATTATAATTGGTTTTTTTTATATTATTCATGTTAATTTTCAAGATATTATCTTTAGTTTTGTCTCAATGCATTTTTTTAATAATTGTTTTTATTTATTTATTTGTTATTTGTTTTGTTCTTAATTAATTAATTTGTTTGTTTAATTAGACAAGTTGACAATTATCTTGATAACTGGTATGAAAGAAGACAAAATGATGAAAATTGTCCACATTATGAAGAGATGATCAGAATTAATAATAATCATAATAAACAAAGAGAAAAAAGAGAAGCAAAAGAACATAAAGAATATGAAAAACAAAGACAATATGATTGAGAAGAAAGACAAAAAGAACGTGAGGAACAAGAAAAACGAGAAGCAAGAGAACGTGAAGAACGAGAAAAGCAAAGACAATATGAGCAAGAAGAGAGAAAAAAAGAAAGGGAAGAAAGAGAAAAAAGAGAAGCAAATGAATGAGAAGAGAGACAAAAAGAAAGGATAGAAAAAGAAAAGAAGAAAGAAAAGAACATGAACAAGAAAGAACTTTTTTTAAAGATATGATAGAAAAAAAAAGATGAAAAAATACATACTTTAATGGTATTTATTTTTTTAATTTATTTATTTTATTTTTTTTTTTAATTTTATTTTGTTTTTTTTTTAATTATAAGGAAAGAAAAGATGAAAAAATGCACACTATTGTCTTCTGTTTAGTGATGGTCTTATTATTAACAATCTTTAAAGATTATGATAATTCTATTATCATAATTATAATTAAATTTATTATTTTAAAAATATTAATAAAATCTTACAAATTTTAAAATAAAAAACATGGAAATGTAACGTTACATTCTATTAACACAAGTAATTATTTCCTTCAAAATGTTGTTAACCCGATTTTTTATATTGTTTAGATCCTTACTTTCATAAATGTTATACGTCTCATTCGCCTTAATCAAACATTCGGTAAGGTTATATGTTTGGTTATAAGCAGTATATTGATACTCCATAGTGTAATAAAGATTAAGAGATATAAAGAAAAAAACGACAATCCACATTGTAATTTTCATTCTAAAAACAAATATATTATTCCTTTAATTTTAAAAATTAAATAAAACCAAAATATCAACTTACATGAACATGCGTAAAAGAGATTATTTACAAATAAAGAAAAAATCAAATATAAATATCTTTATTTAATGCTTACATAATCAAATTACATAATCTAATTATTAATAATTTTTTACACTTCAACCCTGATTTATTTTTATTTATTAGACTATTTTAAACATAACAATGATCTTTTAACATTTGAAGACAATGTATCATTTCTGTAAACATGTTGTTCACCCAATGCTTGATATCATATATATTTTCAGCCTCAAAGATATTGTGTGTCTTGTTTGCGTTGCTCAAACACTCTGTTAGATTGAAATTTTTGTACTCCAAAGACTGATTAATTGTAACCAATAAAATGATAAACCAAAGAATAATTCTCATACTTAATTACTAATTTTATTACATAATAACAGTGAGCATTATATAGTAATTTGAAAAAAATTATGTAATCAAAAAACTATCTTAAACTCAATATAGCTATGACGTTTGTACTCGAAATCGTAATTATAGAAAGAAAAAAGATGAAACTTAAGAGATAAGGAAACAATAAAATGAAAATAATCAAACATAAAACATAATAAAAATATAAAAGTTTCTCATATTGTTTCTGAATTCTCTCACAATGTTTTTGAATTTCTCTCTTTTCAATCTTAATAATTCTCTTTAGTAACTTTTCCACATCGATCTCCTTGTCAATCCTTCTCAGTTCTCGATACAACGTGTTCAAATCAAATGATTCTTCAGCCATTCTAAAAAATAAAATCGATTAATTTAAACAAAAATAAACAACAATAACCAATAAGACTCATATTGCTGACAAAGAAAATTCACGTTGAAATAATACTACAGATATTATAATTGACAAATTGGCTTATATAAACCCCAAACTTGTAACTCTTGCTAAATCTAGATCTATTTAAATCATTGCCACAAAAATGAGATTTATTCTGGGTTTTTTGATCATCCTTGTGTTCCTGTTTAACATGCAACATGCAGCTGATATTATCATTGAAATCAAACTACACAGATTACAACACAACCTGCCAATCTTACATACATGAGATTTTTATAAAAAGCGTTACGTACCCATACTAAACAAGAATGGTAAGATCACAAAACAATACGAAGGAGGCATCTTTGTGCAGAAATTTGGTAAAGGAGGCAGAGCGTATTACGAAAATGTGCATAAGCCAAAGGGACCTATACTACCAATAACAAAACAGCCAAGACATATGACATCCAAGAAAAGAACCAAAAAAAGAAAAGCTACATTACCAAAAAGAAAAGCCACATCGCCAAAAAGAAGACAAAAAAGATAAATAAACTTTAATTTTTTTTTTTTTTTAAAAAAAAATAAAGATGTTGAATTTTATAATTGGTTTGTATTTTTTCTTTCCTTTCTCGCTAATTTAACGAAAAAATTAACAAACTTTTTTTAGAATTCCACCTGAAAATCTTCAAGTTTCACCTGTATCTAAACGAAATAATGTATCAAATTTACTGTAATTTTTATACTTTATACATGCATCTCTACGTTCTAATATACTCAACATTGTTTAAAGAAATAGATATTGTGAAACTTGAACGAGACATTGATCTTTCATTAAATTTATTGGATATTAAATATGATAAAAACATTAACATAAATCAAAAAATGTATCTGTTAGTTAAAGCGTGTAATGATATTAATAATATTTCTAATATAAATAAAGTATAATTTTTCATTAAATCAGAGTCAAAAATGAGTTCTTCTCAAAAAAATAAAGATTCTTCTCTTGAAAATAAAGTTGATTCTCTAATTGAGATTAAAGAAAATATGATAAATTGATAAAAAAACATAAAAAACTTGAAAAAGAATTAAAAAAAATGAAAGAAAAATATGGTAATTTATTAATAAATTTATTAATTTAATATTTATTTTATTTTAAAATATTTTTACAAAATAGAAACAGATTTTCAGTGTTGGTCTGAAATACACAGTGAAGCAAAAGAAAAAACAAATAATTGTTTAAAAAAAATGCAAATAGAAATCTGTGGAGATGATGAGTTAGGAGATAAATTAGATAAACTTGAAACAAAAATCAATGAATTTTCTGAAAAAATTACAGAAAATTTGACTGCTGAAAAACAATATGAATTTATTAATAAATGTCTTGAAGAATATATTAAAGACGATGGAGGAAAATTTCAAGATATTAAACTCACTAGAGAAAATATTTTTTATTTTTTAAATAACAATTTTAATACATCAAATATAGATCTTTTTCATACAAAATATAAAGAAATTTATATTTTTTTCCTTAATAATTTTGATATAGAAAAAAATCCTTACTATGTTTTTTATTATTGTAAAGCATTTCTTCATTGGATAACTAAAGCTTATCTTAGACATTTATATAATTTAAAACATTTATAAACTATATTTCAGATTTACTAAAATAATAAAATAAAATGTCTACTGAAGAAAAACTTGATCAAATTTTATTGGAACGTGAAAATTTAAGAAAAGAATTAGAAGCTTTAAAAAAACAGGAAGAAGAAAGAAAACAAAGAAAAAAAGAAAAAGAAAGAAGAAAAAGAGAAAAAGAAGAAGAAAAAGAAAGAAGAAAAAGAGAAAAAGAAAAAGAAGAACTAAGAAAAAAACAAGAAGAACTAAAAATTCAAGAAGAAGAACTGAAAAAACAGGAAGAAGAACTGAAAAAACAAGAAGAGGAAAAACTAAAAAAACAAGAAGAGGAAAAACTGGAAAAAAAACAAGAAGAAGAACTGAAAAAAGAAGAAGAAGAAATGAAAAAACCTCAAAATACGTACAAAAGCGGTTATCATCCAGATGATGAGAGTAGAAAATATCAAAATATTTATAATAATATGATAGTTCATCCCAATGGAACTCCACGATTACCCAAAAAAAATTCAGAATAGATAAAAATATTTTTTATTTTAAATAAATTTAAATTTATAAAATTTTACATTAAAATAAATTTAAATTTCTTATAACATAAAAAATAAAAAAAAATAAAGACTTCATATGTATAATCACGATCGTCTTGCTTATAACATTTAATTTCCTCCTCTAACCTCTCCAACTTATTAACAAAATGATCCTCAAAATGAAAACTAATCTTCAAATCCTTTAACATGTCATGTAATTTTCGTTCACCCTCCCTAAACTCACGCTCACGACGATGTTCAGAATAATAATGATGTGGGGCATGAATAACAATGTGCACACTTCTTTCATCTTCTGGTTCAAATTCTTCTTCCCTTCTTTCTTTTTCTCTTCCTCTTCTCTCATCGCATTCTAATTCTTTCTTAATGATTCTTCTTACTTGATCTTCATGGGTCTTAGATAATTCTTCTCTTACAATTCTGTTAATTTTTTCTTCAACTATTTTACGAATAATTTCTTCATTCTGTTCCTCGACAATTTCTTTAACAAGATTATTAAGTGTTTCACTACGATTATTACTCATTTTTTTCCCAGTTTTTTTATTGTTTTATTGTATAAAATATACAGGATTTAAATAAATAATTTATTTATATTATTATTATAATGCACGTTTACAATGTAAATTTAATCTAATTATACAGACACAACATAAAAAAATAACTATAAAACTATACAATAAAAAATTGTTAAAAATTGTTCTATTTTTAAAAAAAAAAATATGTGCTAGTGCTGGGGAAACTGGTAGAATAGAGGTGGCAGTGGCCAAAGAAGATGGAGAAGGCGAAGATGGAGAAGAAGAAGACCCTGTCATCAATGTTCCATAACCTACTACCAACCCAATATCATTACACTACAACCACCACCACAAACAGTGAAAAGGAGAAAGAACTTGCAAACAAGCTCGACAAATGCCATAGAAAAGAGAAAGAAACAGGAACAAAGCTCGAAAAATGTCGTAAAAAAGAAAAAGAAACAGAAACAAAAATCAGAGAGTTAGAGACTAAAGTGGAGGAATCAATTACAAAAGTGAAAGAAACAGAAACAAAACTTGAAGAATCAATCAAAGAACATAAAAAACTCACTGAAAAGATCAAAGAATATGAAAAAAACATGGAAACCATATGAATAAAAATTCACGAAAGTCTAAAAATTCTTGAAATCAAGTTTAATGAAAATGATAACATTATTGTACATATCGATCTCTTACTTAAAGCGATAAAGAAACTTCCAAATCTAGGACCAGAAACCACAAGAGAAATTGATGACGTGCTTGCTTCTTTAATTAATGATTTTAATCATTCTGAACCAATCAGTAAAAAAATTGAAAGCCTTGTTGCACAATGTAAAAAATTTGCCATTATCAAAAATAAAATTGATAACAATTGATTGATTATTTTAATAAAATTTATATAAATTCTGAATAAAAAAAAAAAATACTGAAATAAATAAAAAAATAAAAAAATTAAATGTCTAACAACGATGAAAAACTTACTATACCTACACCAAAAGCAATACAAATACCAAGCGGTAGCGGTCTCGCTGACCGCATTCAAGAAGATTTTAACAAATTAACCGATGAAATAAAAAAATTAAAAAAAGAAAATGAAGAACTAAGAAAAGGAAATGAACTGTTAACAAACCAAATAACCAACCTAACTAGCTAAATAAATACATTAAAAGAAGATAATGATAAACTAAAACTGCTTAAAGAAGCAAACAATAAACTCAAAGCACAAAACACTAATTTGCTAGCCGATAACAAGATCTTAACTGATCAAAACAAAAAACTATCCGATAAAAATGCGAAACTTCAAGAAGATAACAATAAACTCACATTTGAGAACTTGAACTACGATTTTATATTTGAAATCTCCTTCAGGAGCAAATCTAAGATATGCTTCCATTCCAGTAACCTCAGGCTGTTTGTAAAACTGTTTAAGCACCAATCTTTTTATCTTGTTCAACTGACTCTCATTCACTTCAACCACCTCTTTATAACATGATATAATAGAGTCTATTGTATTTAATGGTCCGGGTCTATTTATCATATTAACCACTCCTTGTTTAAACTGTTTGATCAATTTCTTGAACTCATCATTGCTAACCTTAAGTGGTTTGCATTTCTTGATAAGCTTCTCATCAATTCTTTTCAGTAATTCCTTATTATTCTTTACAAGATCACGTGTTGAATTCAACAATATTTTAATATCATCAATTGCTAATCGCTTGACTAATCTGAGAATCTGGATCATTATCTTGTCTCCAAAAAAGCTACATAACTTTGTATATATCTTCTTTTTTGTTTTTAATATCTTGGTAATCAATTGCTTGACATCCTTAAAAGATACTTTTGACGTATCGAGAAAAATAGCAATATACTCTAAATCATCCGGATCAACAAAATAATGATCATGCTCTTCGTCCTTGTAAATATTATTAATAGAAGTTCTGATCTTTTGATACTCTGCTTTTTGTGTATTTGACAACTCTGTAGATGATTTTATCATCTGATCCAACAGATTATTGTCCTTCAACGAACCATTAAATTTATCCTGAGGAAATTCCCTAAGATATCCAAGAAGTATTTTTTTAATATTATTGTTGTCATGATTTTTTTTATCATCTAATTTAGCGTCTTTATCATCATCTGACTTTGCGTCTTTATCGTTTGATTTAGAGTCTTTATCATCGTCTAATTTCCCATTCTCATCGTCTAATTTCGTGTCTTTATCATCTAATTTCGTGTTTTTTTTCTCATTGTTTGACAGTGCATTTGATAAAAGAGAATTTAACCGATTTCGATGTTCTTGTTGTAATTGTTTCTTGGTTCTCGGAAAATCCAAATATTGTTGATCGATTTCTTGTATCTCCTTGTCATATTTTCCCCCATCAATAAGTTCATCTGCATCATTCTCCTCCCTAATCAAATCGCTTAATAAAAGGTATAATAGATTATTAAATTTATTTTTTCTAAAATCGATCAACCTTTGCTTGCTTCTCTGATCACCTAACAAAGTTGCGTTCAATGCCAATATATCATTCGCAAGTCTGCTCGTATCATCCAGATCAATGATCTGGGATTGTTTATAATACTGATTTATCAATCTTTGATAGCTATCCCATTTACCAACCTCCAATTGGCTCAACAAAGAATCTAACAAGCTAACTCGTAATCGCTGAAGATCGTTTACATCTCTTCCACCTGTTAGATTGATATTTTCAAGTTGTCTGATTCGTCTATCCATTTTCGAACTGTCTTGTAATTGTATTGGATTTTTAATATCAGGAAGCTTATTCTTAATTTGATTATAGTATTGATCTAATAATTCTTGTAACTTTTCAACTCTAAACTGTTGTAAATTTGCTTTCTGAATTGAATTTAGAACATCATTACTTTTTATTCTACAATTCCAGTATCCATTACCTTCCAAATTTGCTATAGAAGTATCTTTTCTAATTCTATCTCTTATTGTTGTGAAAGTATCCAAATCATTAACTGAATTCTTTAACTCTTTTATCTTTGCTTCACATAATTCGTTCAATTCACTCTTATCTTCCGATATAAAACTTGAATTGTTTATCGCATTTTTCCAGTAATTTTTTAATCTATCTAAATCTTTTCTTTAGATATATTATTGTAAACCTTTTCGTAATCTTGTCTGTAACGTAATCTATTCAACCGAATATTCTGCAATCCACCTTTTAACTTATCGTTTAACAAAAGATCACTTAATATCTCAATATCCTAAAAACCACCATCTTGTAGCTTTGGAATCGATGTTTCTTTGCTAATATCCTTCGCTAAATTATTAAATCTCAATAACATCGCGTATTGCCCCCGTCGCATACCTTGCAACACATTTTGCTTCTCAATTGGCAGTTTTGAAGCGATGATTGATTGATCTATTATCTTACCATCTTCCAGAGTACCAATATCATATTCATTCTGGATCATGTTTTGTAAATTATTAAATTTTTCATCATTACTGATAGGTGGTGGTTCAATTGGAGGTTCAACCAGTGGAGAAATTAACTAATTTGCCATAGTGAACAAACCTAACAAGAATGAATCTTCAAACCGTTCTTAAGCGGTGAGTTCTCTCTGTCTCTTAATATCAACACCATAAGGCGAACAATCGTGAAATCTTTTCTGTGGAGTGACTTTACATCGAACACTTACATGACTCATTTTTTTACAATTTATCAGATTTCAAGAAACAAAGATGTGTATTTATATATTTATTCAAATTAAGATAAATAATAAAATAAATGATAAATAAATAATTAATTCTATCTTGTGTCTATCCCTTCATCCTTTTTATCACAATATTTTTTAATCATGTCCACGATATTTTGAATCTCACCTGCGGTTGTATAATCCAACTTCCATCTAGCTCTAATATCTCCTCTGCTCATCCATGCTCCAATTTCTAATATACCCAAACCAACATCAAATTTCTCACCAAACAACAATCGAGCATTTCCCGTTGTATTACATAATCTCATCTTATACATCCAATCCATGTAATCCACCACCACAGCTACTACAAAATTATCTTGTGCATATACTATCTGCTCTCCTTTATTCTGTGAATCGATGCAAGTTTTATGATTACCAAGATCGGCACAAATCACAACATTCTTATCAACAAATAAACATCTTGTATTACATATAAATTCCACCTTTTCTTCGGCCCACACCTTGAAATACTCATGAAATTCAATTCTATCTCCCAATTCAAATATATTATCAACTATATCCTCTAGCTCTAAAAGATGAGAATTTTTCGCTTTTTCTTTATCACAAATCTCCAAAAGAAAAACCCTTATCGTCATTGGAGTATCTAATCTAGTGATCGGGGTGACACCTTTCGCAGTTGGTAGATCAAACTCTTTAGCCCCAAAAAAGACAGTAAACTTAAAATGTATTGAAATATCGGTTATTACTAATGTATTCTGCAGTTTAGAAACCTGATATAATGGATAAAGAAATAATCTTTTCCAAAGTGTGTCATAATAAAAACATCGCTTTTCTTTTTCATCCCTAACAATACTGAATTTATAATCATTAAACATCTCACCAAACGATCTTTTTTTACCACAAATATCTCGTTTTCCTACATCTCCCCCACAATACGCGACTCGACAGAAAGGAGAACTGGAGATTTTTTTCCTAACAGAACATGAGCCATCAACACAACTTGAAGAGTTAATCGCCCTTGTTTTCTTTTTCTTCGCAGGTGGCATCTATCTTTTCTTTCCACAACCTGAACAATAAGGTCCGTCAGATGATCTAACTATCTTTCTTTTAGGAAGTTGTCTATGCTTTACCAAACTTTTTGAAGTTGATTTTTTCTTAAACTTTTTCAGTTTTCTTTTCTTTAAAATCGGTGCCAGTTTTAACTAATTAAGTATGAGTCAATCATTCTTAAACCTTCAGAAATTATCAACCTGATCGTTGATATGACTTGTAAAAATCCAGATTTTAATAAAATATTTAGATAAGAAAAATCAGATTTTACGATATTAAACAAGAAAATTGATAAGATTATTATTAACAATGTGAAAAAAATGACTAATAAAGCACTTATGACCATGTCTAATTTAATCTTTGCTCTATAAGTATTTTCACAATTATTAAAATTTTCCATTTAAAATTAAACAACAAAAAATCATTTCTATTTATATATTTTTGGAATTTTTAAAACTATTCTTCTATTGCTTGGCTATTTTTTTCAATATTTCATCATTTTTATACCCTTGTTCCACCAGTTTATTGTATTCCTTCTAAACGTAAAGATTATACGCGCTCAACTTTTTCCCTTCAGATTCAGATTTTTTCTTCTTATTTGATGATTCAGATTCTGACTCAGATTCTTCTGTAGATTCCCCTTCAGACTCTACTTCAGATTCTACTTTATTCTTTATTCTTCTGACTATTATTTTTTATCATTAGTATTTTTTTCAAATTTTAACCTGGAAACCTTCTCTATATTATCGTAAAAATGAATCACCTAGAGAGGATCGAGTAAAAATAAACCCTTCATCATAGCCTTTTGACTCTTTGCTTTTTGAATCACTTCCTCTTTTTTTTGTATCAATATATCTTCTTTGCCTTGGGCATCATAACATGGTCTTGAGGAATTCTCTTAACAAACATTCGAATTTTCTTAAAAATGATCTTTCTTTCTTTTTTGTAATTGCTTTTTTTGATGTTGTCTTTTGCGGAGCTGATTTCTTTTTAACCTTTGGTTTTCTAGATTTTCTCCTTGATTTAACCTTTAAGAGATAATCATAAGCCTCTTTTATCTTGCAAAATTTATCCTGAGCGTAACTTGACTTGTTCTTATACATACAAAAATTCTGTGCCAGGTTTTGTCGATCATGTGGCACAGCAAAATCCTTTAAAGTTCGATTATATTAGGGTTAGGGT